CCCTGGAAGGCCAATTGCGACATCTTTCAGCTTCACGAAGTATCTGGGAGTAGTCTAGTGATGCGACTTGAAGTCCGTAGACAACACGAACAAGCTATATGGAAACGAACTACGCATGCTGTGGGCGCTCACGCCGCACGTGGCCTGAAGAGCTTGTCACTTGTCTCTTCTCTTCCATAATAGAAGCAATGCCCGAGTAGGAGTCACCGACCTATTATCCGCTCATCCGTGGCGAGGTGCAAAAACTGGACCGTGTTCAGCCTGTGATTACCAGGCTCGTTCCCAGTTTACTAGGAATGTCGTACGAAAACCTATACAGGAGACTGTAGCTGCACAACTAGTTGCATCGTCAGTTTCGAGTGCACATCATAATGACGCACCAGTGACTATACCTGGGTGACTTCTTTGTGTTGAGTACGCTTCTACACGTGCGCGCAAAAGTAGCACTCGCGGACATGAAGCGTATAGTTCACCTATGCATCGAGTGGTGAAATATTGGAACAGTTTGCCCGAGACACTGATCGACACGAACTCTGTGTCGGAATTCAGATTTTGAGAGCGCAACGCAACTGAATAGGACGCTGCGTAACTGCAGTAAGTTGAAAATGTCAAAAATGAGTGACGTAATGCTGCGCACATACCTGAGTTAATTTCCACGGATTAACATAGGTAGACCTAGTTGTTTTTGAAATTTGTTGTTCAGGGTTAGTTAAGAACGCACGATCAAACTTGGTAGGCATAAATATACCGACGGTCTATGTTTTCGGAGCTTTTTAACCGTTTGCTTGACAGGATTTGTTATCAAATTTACCTGTCATGGTGACTGCCAATGGTTTCGGAACGAGTGTGAATGTACCGATGGACGATGGACGGCTTAAGCTGTATTGGCTGCGGCATATCGGCTGTTCAGCTTAAGCCAAAGGGAATAAATATGCGTGCAGGGAGGCATCAACAGTACGCCGGTAAGCAGTACCGACGTTTCGATGCTGCGCAACCACCAGCAGTCACGCGTACGGGAAGGATACAGTGATGGCCGCCCGGTCCCGCGCGCAAACTCGAACGCTTGACCATAGGATTACAAGGCAAGCTTGTGATCCTTAAGGTCAAGAGAAGTAAAAACCTTGATTGTCTCCAATCTAGTTCGCAGTACGTTGGCGTGTATACAGATTACGGGTGAATGAAAGTGCGTAACTGTCCCAGACGTGCGATGACGCCCAACAAACGTGAATGCAATGTGTACCGGGATGGAATACGCGTGGTTTGCCATCAGTTGACGTGCTTTGCATCGGTGTACATTAGTTAATCCGTGGGGTCAAATTGGGGGGAACATGTTCGTCGGACGTGTACGGGTTGTGGCTGAGTAGTAGCCCGTTCCAAGATAGAGCGGCTTTTAAGAAAAACCGTCTCGAGGACCGCATGGAGTAATCGTCTTCTGCTGTGCACAATCAGGATAGTAGTATATGGCGAGCAGACACTTGTGCGACATTTGTACCCAGAACACCCTAACCGGACATATCCAGCGGAGATAAGCATCAAACATGCGGCAACACGAGCAATCATCATCACTGGCAGTGTGGGTGACAAAAGTGAGGAAGCAAATGTCCGAAACTTCAATAGGTCGAGTTGATTAATTTACACCGACACACATACATACTCACACTCCTAAATGAGCGAGAACCGTGTTTGTGACAATCCACATGTACCGACCCGCGTTTGATGAAACAGTGGTTCGGCTTCCGCATCTCTTCCTGGACTGCAGTAAAGGATGAAGCTGTCAAACTGCAAAGCAATATGGTTGGCGGCATCCGGTTTCGGATTTGCCTGTCACTGTGGCCAGCCACAGGACGCCTGCGCCTACAGAGGGACCATGGATGGCTTGCGCTGCATCACCCACAGCTCCAACCACATACCCCATATCCAGTGTAAACCCGAAGGAATAAGACCGGCAGGCATGCGGATGGGAACCACGTTTCATCAACGGAGCCGGCCCACACTCCTTCACAGGCAAACACAAGCGCACTGTATTTGGGAATCAAGCGCACACAAGGCGGTGGCTGGACCGTAGTCCGCTCCACACTGAGTGCATGGAACCACTCTTTGATCCTAACACGGCCACAAGGACCGTGCACCCCGTCCCCTCCAGCAACGACCAACTGTCTCCTGGAGCCAGTATGGACGAGGTAGTGGGTAATAGACAGGTAGGCACCTTGTCAACATGCACATCAAGCGCATCCACACCGGGGATACCAAACAACAGCCAAACACTTGAAAGAGAGAAAGAAAAAGAGAAAACTCGATTAATGCATAAGGAAACGGTGATATAAACCTTAATTAAATAGCATATGTAATAAGTTGATTACAAACAAATCTTAGCTAAGTGCACGAGGTCAGAAAGTATAGTTCACGGAATGCCACGAACGCAAAAATGTTATGAAAATCGAATACAATTGGCTTAGGCGATGTGTGCAAGTTAATGAAATAGAGTACAGGGAGATATTTATTTGAGAAAGAAAAGCATTAAGGTAAAAACTGTAAACCCACCACCTGAAATAAAGAGACTTAGCATGCAAGCACGCGGTTAGTAAATCGAATTCAGCGTGCCTACAAACGCTGCGCCAGTGCTGCCTACGTTCACTGCGGGACCCGTCGTCGCTTCGGCAGTGGTCCCGAGTGACCTCTCTCATGGCTCACTAGGCCTGCCTGACTAAGGCACTCGCGACCGTATGTTCTACAGCACCATGCGCTCGATGTCGATGGAGTACAATTCATCGGTGCTTGCCGCTTCCGCAAGTGCCGCTTCTTCTCTGCATGTATGAGGGCTTTCTCCCGCACTTCAGCAACTGCCTTCGTGATTTGATCGCGCCACGCACGCCGATCAACCGCCTTCGATTCCCATGATCTGCAATCAAGATTAGAACGTGTGAGACTCACTTTAATCATGTCCTGGTAACGTAACTTTGGTTTCCCCACGTGCCGCTTCCCAATACTCAGCTGACCGTATAAAAGTTGTTTCGGTATCCGCGCCGAATCCAAACGACTCACATGACCGAGCCATCTCAGATGTCGCAGTAAAAGTATGCAGTCCACTGCATACATCCCACTTCGGCGCAACACTTCCGTGTCTGCAACTCTGGCGCCCCAGCCGATCCGTAGAATTCGTCGCAGACACTGCTGATGGAACCGCTCGAGATATCGCACATCCCGACGGTACATCGTCCACGTTTCACTGCCGTATAGAAGAACGGACAGTACCATGGATTTGAACACCATCAGCTTCGTGCCAATGCTAAGCTGATGATTGTTCCACACTCGGTACTCAAGCTTCCCGAATGCCACTGCCGCCTTCGACACGCGAATACGCAACTCAACGTGTAGCTGCTGATCAGTCGATATCACACTCCCAAGGTAGCAAAAGCGGGAGGTGGTTTCCAACACTTCAGCACCAATGCTGATTTGCGGCAATATTGAAGATTGCACCTCCGGTGAAGGCTGAAAGAGACAGACAGTTTTGCTTGTGTTGATGGTGAGCCCGAATTTGGCCGCTGTCGAAGCCAGAGCACTAGTCATGTGCTGCAACTCATCCGCGCTGTGTGAAAACAACGCACAGTCGTCAGCAAACAGCAACATACGGATAGTTGTCTCACAGACTAGAGTTCTCGCACCGAAACGACGGAAGTTCAGCAACCCACCATCAATACGGTGCTCCACACGAACACCGTAAGCACAAGCCGCATCAAAAGCACAAGACAACATTGCATGAAGATAGATATTAAACAGGGCAGGAGCTAACACACAGCCTTGCTTCACACCAGAGACAACTGCAAAGTCATCCGAGGTCTCTCCACTCAGCTGCACCCTCGCTCGCATACCACTCTGCAGACATCCAATGAAACTTACAAACTTACGCGGGCAACCAATCTTACCCAACACCAGCTACAATGCCTCGCGGTTCACCGTATCAAATGCCTTGGTGAAATCAACAAAAAGCGAGTACAATGGCTGGTGTCGTTCTCTGCACTTCTCCTGTAACTGACGAACCGCAAACACTATATCTATAGTGCTGCGACCCGAACGGAATCCACACTGCTCTTCCGCCACGTCAGGTTCCACAATCTGACTCACGAGGCGATTGAGCAGGATTCGGGCAATCACCTTGCCCACACAACTCAGCAAGTTGATGCCATTAACATTTATTTTTGACATTTGCATGCATGGCTCAAGGGATGAGCTGTACAGCAATATGCCAAGTGAGGACGAATGTCCCCGGCAGAATAGGAAACACTGATTGAAATAAAAAAATTCAAACAGTGGTCGGAACCGCGTCAATTGTCACCGCGTGGGATTGGGTGCATGTTATGTAAGGCATGATGATGCACCACGCATGTAGGTGTCGTAGACCTTCAGAGTCAGACGAAGAGTAGAAACACAGAGGTCAGAAATATCAAGTGATGTCATCCCGAGTGCGGTAAGATGTTTAGCTGAGGTGGAATATATCATCCCTCGATTACCTCAAGTTTGGCGGCAGTAGGACCAGTCCGTCTTCCAGATTGGGGACCACGAGATGCGGAGTCTCAGTGGTTGAAAACATTGGATGTAATGGCCCGCAACAGACATCAGTGACGTCAATGTTGTTCTGCCATTTATCCCCCCTTTAATGCACACAAAAAGCACGGAACAAAACAATCAAAATGGCGTGTGTAAAACCAAAAAATCGTTTTCTATTTTTTATGGCATTTCATGTTTGTCTCTTCTCCATTTCTTTTCTTCTGCCAAAGTTCTGATGGCAGGATATCTGTTAAAAGCCAGCATATATATATATATATATATATATATATATATATATATATATATATATATATATATATATATATATATATACTGGCTGTAACTGTTATGACAGCTTGAGGGTACACATCTCTCCCGTTTTTCAGCCTACTGGAACCACATTGACATTGCTCGGTACACTGCACATAACGCTTCACTCTTTCTTGTGAACAACCATGAAGAAACCAATAAAGGCTCAGTTAAAACAGTGTCATCTGGAGCCAGTTGAAAAAACAGTCCCACGCCCACTTCCTGGAGTTCCCGAGCACTTTAATCACGGCGTTTTCTTCGATGATGGATTTGACTACATGCAGTACTTGAAATCGGTTTCCGAACTAAACGATCGTCAAGCTTTCGTGAGTTTTCCACATTTTATCTACGTGATTCATTAGAGTCATTGGCGCATCTGGTGAACTTATGGCTTCAGCACCACCAATTTCAACCGAATGTACACATCATCGCCATACGTTTAAAACCAATCACTGTTACAGGATCGCACATACAAGCGATGATACCCGTGGTGGTCGTGGTTATTATTTAGTGTCAGCCCAACGTGACCTAGATAATTGTCTCGAATAGTCGCGGTCGTGTATAGCACAGATTATGTAGAGTGATTGCTACCTTGGTAGATGTGTCACCTCTGGTGGTCACATCCCTGGGGAAGTTACTTCGCGTATCACCAAGGCCAGTGTGGCTTTCCAGACTCAACCATCTATGGAGACGGCAGGATATCAGCCTGTCAGTGAAAGGTAGGGTGTAGAACGCTGTGATAAGGTCGGTCTTACTGTTTGGATCAAATACTTAGCCAGTTTGCGGCGAAGACATTAAACGCTTGGCAGTGTTTGACCACCGATGGTTGCGGAGTATTACTCACGTCTGGTGGGAACCCCGGGGGAGCAGTGCTGTGGTTCGCCACTTGGTTTTTGGCAAGAAGCCTCCTGGTGTCTCACTTTAGTGTTTGCTAAATCTTAGTCGCTTACGTTGGCTAATCCAGATTTTCCGTATGCCCATTGACCGGCTTCCTCGGCATGCATTATACGCCGTAGTTGCACCAAGTTGAGTAAAACCACGATGTGGCCTAGTGGGATGAAGAAATTGACCGAGAGACTTAATCTGTCTGGTGCCCCAATGGGTGCCCCGGGATCGTCCACACCAATGCTTGAAGGTCACATCAGACATGGCGCAGTCACACAATTAGTGGCGTTTTTGCTTTCTTTTTCTTGCATCTGGTTGTTAATTTTCATTGCATTCTGATTTGTTTAACACGCTTCCCTCTTGCCTCCATTTTCTTGACATTATTTTTGCCTGTAGCCCCACTATCTTGCCGTTGTTATTTATTGTTATTCTTGCAATGTGAGTCGTGGCAACTGGATCCCACACACGTTGATGCTCGGATCATAGTTGTTCAACTGAACCGAACTGAGCATGATCGCTGATTGGTGGGTGCCGGTACACTGGGCTAGGAACCAAATATTCGGTTGAGCTTCTAGTCAGCAAAACTGGGGAATCTGCCTCTTCAAGCGAAGATTAGTCTGGGTGGTTTACTTGTGGCAGATGCATGCGCCAATGTAGATAATATACCTTGTGGATGGCACAGATCTTGACAACTGGCGAGCTATCTCCTCGGGCATAAATCAGAGGGAGACGACAACAGACATCCGTAGCTACAGAGCAAATGATTGAACCTATGTTACATCAGTCCCTGCATTGTCGTGGAATGTGCCATTTAATTTTTGGCACTAATATGACTATTTCTTTAGTTCACCATGTTCTATATTCTTCCATCTTTCATTGCTGTCCACGACAGGGCTGATCTTCTGAGGTGGCGCAATGAAACTTTCAAGCGAATAAGTAAACCCAAGCGAGGCGTATTGCCATTGGCTCAATTGTGTATGAAAAGTGGCATTTTCAATAGCGCCGAATGATGAACGAGTTGAATGGTTTGTTCGCCCATAATATATGCATATTATTACTCTAAAGATGGGTTAAAGTGCTCGTGGCTATCGTGCTACATGGCCAGATGGGCATATAAATGCAAGTAGTACCTATCAAGCGAATATCCTGTATGTAAGCAGGTCTATAGCGCGTCGATTGGGCTCTATAAATCAGATTCGTAGCTCAACGGACAACCGAAAGCGAGCAAGCGAACACGAAAATAAGTTAGAAAAGGTTTATTATTGGGTCGCTGAACTAGCTAAGATTAAAAATGAGACACCGAAAGAGAGCTAGCTAGGGAAGATGTGAATGAATGCTGTGTGCAAACATCGCAGTCACGTCCGAGCGAGAGCAACTCTTGCGTGTGTTGTGTGCGACTCAAACAAACGTGAGCAACGGACAAACGAACAAACCACATTATTTTCTGATACATAATATTTTAGAACAATATTTAGAACAATCAACTAAAGATCACTCCGTATCCCCTGAGGACGGTCCCACAGATGGTCGTATTGCTTGACATGAACATTCGGCTATATCTGGATTTTCCAATTTCTCACTGTTTCTAATACATTCAGTTTGTCAGTCATTCAACAAATCCGTTTGGAAACCACAGTGAAAAACTCAAACAATTGCCTGGTTTATGCGATCTGCTGTACGCGTTGATCAGACCACTAAGTTGCACTGTGCCTCACACAGTCGAATACTATACCGTTTATTATCTATGTAAGTGTGGGTTGCTGACAAGTCCTACTTAATGTCTTGAGTTCACTTGGGTGGTTTAACTTGTAACTGCTTCCTGGTGTATAAGAACGCACCCCATCATCAAGGTGACAGAATTCTGTTACTCGTTGCTTCATGATAGATATCGACATTCACTTGCCGTTGGTGTACCAAGTGTTCGAACATTTTACTTTTTAAAGGCGGTGGTTAGGTTTGAGATTATTGTTCGGGTGAACAACAGCTTGGGAAGAACATAAGGGCTTTAAGAACTTGGTGCAAATTCAGCGTCCGTTGCATAAATTATTGTGATAACCGGCGACTTCATTCATCCACTTGGCTCTTGGAATGCATCTTCTCGACCACATTTGGTCGAGATGGTAATGTCGCTCTTCAAAAGATGCTCTAGCATCCCTGCTTCAATCCTTAAGTTAACGTGTTATGCTCATGTCGGAAGTAGACACACATGTCCCTACATATCACTGTTTTCTTGCCTTCTTCCTGAACAGAGGCTTGTGTTGACTCTAGAGTAACCGATGGAATAAATTTTGAGCGACTCTGGAATAAAATCATCCAAATCTCACAGATTCCCCTTCAGGTGCAGCCTATGACATGTCAGAAACTGTTTGAAGTAAACGTCATGTGCAACTCGGGATACGTTTGCGTCCTGTTACCTAAGGGACAGTTAACTCAGTCTCACTCACGACCACGAAGTCTATGGGTGCTCTTCATGATGTATAAATTTAGCCTATTACTTTGTTTTTATACGCACTGGATGACATTTTCCAAGTAACTCCGAAGCCACTCGTATTGGATGAAATACCTGTTAATGGTCAGACAAACTCTCAGCATCACAATCAGAGATGGGTGTTGGTCGATGGCTGTTTTCCTCTGATGAACACCTATCCACAACGGCTAACAATTTTTATGAACCCGATTCCCTTAAGACACTAACATTATGGGTTGCCTCTTCGGTAAGTGAGCACCACTATTGCTTGCCTTTTTCTACCGAATACTCTAAGACAGAAAAATAGCTGACCCACCTATACCCTGCCATTGACTGTTGTCAAAATCGTATAATATGCGATGGTCGATAGACACACGAATTGTTCTCGATCCTTCAGACCGGTTTGTGACTGTTACCAAACCGATCCCTCCTACCTCTCGAAATGAGCAATCTGTCATATGCGTTCACAAGGCCCCACTGTCAATGCTCTTTCTTCTTGACTCCTTTATAAATTTTCTCGGGTTTGTGAGTAAGAAACTGTTGCTATTTGTGAACCTAATGCTAATGATGTAGATAACTCGTCTTCCAGACACATGTCATGCAAGTCCACACAACCTAGGCACTAGATTAGGTCGGCCAACAATCATCGCTCTCTTCCTTCGCATTTTTCGTCTCCGAAAACGCATACAAATAGCAAAATCCTAATGTATATTTGCTCATTTGGCTTAGTTTTTTTCTCGAGGGACGCGAGTGCATACGTCCAGATATTTCTAGCGTCGCTAGTGTCTTGATCAGGGTTGGCGTAGACAATCCTTTTGAGATGAGTTCAGTGAAAAGCTGCGTATGCACTGTACAACTTCGGGTCTACCTAGGGACCAGTAAGCGCTGTTCGTAGATAGGACACTTTTTAATTTGGAGCTATTCTCTTCCAACACTGCACTGCACGACCGACTGGTTTTGTCCTCATTCGGACTCGTCAGGTGGAGATGGCTTGAGCTGAGAAGGGAGCCCAACACAGTGGTTGACGGCTTTCGTCTTGAACACTAGGCCAGGGCTCCACAGCAGCGCATGACACAACGTTAGAGGTTCATTTTTGAGTTCGAGGGTACCCACCGTCTGGATTGCGGCACGCAACCTTCATCGAGGCTCCAGTTTGCTTTGAAGAAAACCTACGCCATTTCGAACACTTGGACCGCATCCGAAGTGGAGAGTTTCGGAACTGCTCTTCACCAACACTGCACTCCACGACTGAATGGTTTTGTCCCGATTTCGACTCATTAGGTGGTGATAGCCTGGGTTGAGAGAGGAACCCGACACAGTGGTTGACGGTTTTCGTCTTGAACACTAGGCCAGAGCTCCACAGCAGCGCTCGAAACAGCAGTTAGAGGTTCATTTTTGAGTTTGGGGGTACCGGTTGTGTGCCTGGATTGCGACATGCAATCTCGACTGAGGCCCCCGTTTGCTTTGAAGCAGAACTCTTCGGTTCCCATCACTGACCGTACTCGCCGAGGTCTGATTCAAAGCAAACTGTGACCTCAGTCGAGATTGCGTGTCGCCATCCAGGCACACGGTGAGCACTACAAAACCCAACCACACTTTTCAGTCGTTCCGGTGTATGTCCCGACCGGCTGCAACTCGAAGGACATGAAAAATGCATAGTATTGGTACCTCATCACTTATCTGTAAGGCGAAAAGTACGAAAATTGCACTCGTTGCTTTTGATAGGAATGCCCAACTGAGTCATATATCGGACTCCGAACAATGCCTTGGGATTGATACTTGCGATGCAGGTAGTGGCAATCGTTTTCCTAGCTCTTGGAGGCACCGCTTTTCAACACGAGATATCGCTTCTTGCCTCTCGGTGCTTTATGATATCTTGAGCCCAATCTGACAACTGTGTCATCACCAGTAGATGGCACCGGTGGAGTTGCACCAATGCTCGTACGCATGGAACTCACTGTTCCGGTGTAGCGC